CCCCGCCCGCCCCCCCAGTGTCCCCTTTTTAAGAGCTGTGTAGTCTTATTAGGTCATTCCATCTCCTACGCAATTTGGATTATTGTTTTCCTTTGGCTCATTTCATACACTGTTTTTTTGTCAAACTTTTAGAAGTTTTGCTCTCTGGGTGGTACAAACAGTTTAATACGCTCAGTTAGGTATGGAAACAGTGACGCTTCAAGTCCAGAGAAACTAGCGCACCTGGGCACCAGAGGCCTGGTGACCGACTGGCTTCTGCAATCATCGGCCAAGGACAACCCTACGGTGCAGGGCGGCACTCTGACACGCGTGGTCGCCGTATGTTGGAACCGACTTGAAGGCACAGACGCTGCCCTTCTCTCTGAACGCATGCCTCCCCCAAACCTTTCACCCCACCAGATCTCAGTGTAAGCACACTTTACCACCAAGTATCCGGAAAACGTCAATCAGGCTATCAAGAGGAGTCCACAGCTTGCATGTCTTTACGTTCATCACTCTGATTCCACTGTACCTTCCCAGGAAACCTCGGAGCTCGGCAGCCTTTATCAATATACTTTCATAGAACAGAAGGACTGCTCAATCCCTTGGCTGGACTAAGGCAAGTTCACTGAATAGGCATCAGGTGAAATTGAGAATAAGGGCTCTGAAAATATAACCTACTTTTAGGGAACATTTAAATTGAATACTAATCAGTTATTTTTCTTCCATTATTTATTTATATATATATTTTCTTCCATTATTTAAAAAAGCCCAATTTCTAGGTTTTCAAAATTGGCAAGTATAAATTCTGAATTATTTTCAATGAAAATGGCATGGTACTGTTTCTCTTCCGAGGTATCTGACATTTTGCAGACTGATGAGGTTCAGAAGTTTGTTCCCCAAATGCACAAAAGAAGTTCAAAGTGTAAAACTAAAATAGCACGATACTTTCGACCAAAAGGACACTAACAATAAAATGCCTGTAATGCAATTTCAAAATTTCCCCACTATCGTCACTCAAATGAATACCCAGTTGTGGTCACACAAAAAAAGTTAAAAATTACTAATTTTTCTCATTTAAGAGTCCTTATTAATTTAACTTAGCAATTTTAAAATGTAACAGTTTAAAACTAAGAACTTTGCAAAACTTGTGATTTTCACAAAGAAGTTAGATGTTATCGTTAGAGAAAAATACAACTCTGAATTTTTCCAACTCTGTATTTAAGTCATTGAAATATAAGCTATATTGTCCAATATTTTTAACAACAGTTTATAATGAAAGTGTTGTATCCTCTGTAGAGAACATAATTAATGAAAAATTTGGCACTCTCAGGAAATAGGTCTTCATTTCCTAAAATAAAGCCACACTGAACCAGGAGAAAACACAACTTAACTATTATTATCTAATCAGTGTGAGCATGAATATGCTAACATATTACAGATAGGAAATAAAATCTTCACTCTTTACTACTTAAGGAAAAAAATGAGCAGATTTGTCATTGAACACAGTGGGCTTCTATTAAAGGACGCTCTTTAATTTATATCACATGGAGCGAACTTAGAACTAAAAGGATCATTTAATAAAGCTAAAAACTAGCATTTATTGAGTGTTTAATACATGCCAGGCACTCTTCTATCTGCGGTTCTTAAAATAATCTGATGATGTCATTAACTGCCTGCTCATTGTATAGACACGGAGGAACCCTGGAGACACAGTGGGCTACATACAGGTTAGGCCACCAACCACAAGGTCGGCCGTTTGCAATACCAGCCACTCCAAGGGCAAAGGTGGGGGTTTCTACTCCCATAAACGCGTCGTGTTGAAAACCCACAGGGGCAGTTCTTCCCAGGTCTAGGGTCCCTATTAGTCGGGATCGACTCCGAAGCAGAGATGAGTACTATTATTATAGCCAGGTACAGAGAAGTTAAGCTTTAATGGTTTTCCTCACATCCTGACCACCCCAAATAAAAGTTTTTGGCAGTTTGTTACAAATGTCGAGGTCCCGGTTCTACCCAGGACCATCTGAGTGGGAAATCTTGGAGAATCTGGTTTCAGAAGTGTTTTAAGATCCTTCAGATGGGAAAACGCTGTTCTAGCTGAAGGTGAATACTTTCATTTTAAAATGAAAGGTTTTACCTAAGTATGTAGTGAACATGGATATTTTAAAATCTTTTTGTCGTGATTGTGCTTGTTTTATTTTGCTAAATTAATTGTATTTACTTTGTTGCGGTGGTTGCTGGGAATGTACACAGCAAAGCAACCGCAGCGCACCAGTGTCGACGCATGCGCTTTAGAGACACGGATTACGTTCTGCAAGTTGTGCCTACATTCTTACCATTCATGTCAGAGCTGTTTTTCCTCATAACTTATGTTCATTAACTCCACCACCCGCTAAGGTTCCTAGCTAATCATTCTAGTTGCTTTTGTCAATTTGAACCCATAAATGTAGTTCTTAGAAGAGTTCAAAGAATAACAACTCTTAAAGGAGCTCAAAGCAAGTGTTGTGTTGTTGTTGTTTTTACTAGTAAGCTAAGCTATTGTTTGATTTCAAGACGTAGGGAATACGTGTAGTGTAAGGTTTAAAGATTATCTCAGGGTAATAGCCTCAAGGGGTCATACAGCCACCACAGCTCAGGAAAGTCTAGATTTTATGAGAATGTGAAACCCTGGTCTGCATCCTCTCCCCTTTTGATCAAGAATTCTTCTGTTGAATCCTTGACTAGAATGTTTAGTAATTGCTGCCAGAATCATTTCTGTTTTATAAAATTATTTCATTTGCTTAGATAAACATTTTAATGCCATTAAAATGACTGTAATAAACTTAGGGTTAGGTAATGATTCAGAAGTTTTGCCTGTTCATTACATTCTGCCTTTGATAAATTTCAATTCCTTTTCCTTATTGCAATATGAGTAGAAGTGAAGAAAAGGCAGTATTCTCAGACTGGTTTACCTTTCTCACCGCCATTGAGTCAATGCTGCCTCACGGCGACCCCTGTGGGTTTCCGAAATGGTAACTATTTATGGGACTTGAAAGCCCAGTCTTTCTCCCGCAGAACTGCTGGTGGTTTTGAACATGCCGGCAGTGCACATTGAAGACCATTTCATAAACATTACGCCAACAGGGCCCTAAGTTTTAAAATTAATGCATGAATATTGAGCACAATAGTCATTTTTGAAACAAAAATAGTAACTTAAACACAAAGACATAAACATAAAGATAATTGAAAAATACATATTTGCCTCTAGTTGCCAAAGGTGCAGGGTAATGTAGGAATAAATTTTCATGAATTTCGGGAATAAACAGATTGTTTTATAAAGAAGAAATGTAAAATGTACTTTAAATGTTCTAGAAAGTAATTTGGTTTCTAGAAAATAAAATAAAATTGATTTCTAGAGAAAATAATAAGGCAGGTCAGTTAAATTAAAATGAAAATAAATAAGACCCCCCCCCCCAAGTAAGTGTAACAGCTTTATGTAAGATACCATCCTAGCATATACATAAAAAAATTGAATTGCCAATATTAATATTTTTTCCTTCTCGGTCCTATAGTGGGCGCATTAGTTCTCAGTTAAAATCTACTGTAATGTTCATTCTTTATATTATAATGAAGTTAAATAGATAATATTTAAAATAGCATTTATTTTTTAATGAAATTAACAAAAACAGGCAAAGGAATTTATTTTAAACTTTCAATATAGGTATGCACTGGAAAACAATATAACCATTAAAAATGCAAGTATAAAAATATGTATTAATATTCACAATATGTCGGTAGAGTGGAAAAATAAAAGTACCAGGAAGTACATGAGACCATATAGTACCCTTAAGAAGAAAACATAGATCTAGTCATGGGGTTTGGGCTGCACTAAATCCTAGCTCCAACTTAAGAACAATTAGTTTTTACATCATGGCCCTGCTTGCTAATCATCCTCAGGAAGGGAACACAGAAGATATGGGTGCTGTAGAAAAATGTGGTGAAGAAATCAGATGGTGTCCCGTCCAGCGGGAACAGCAACGTGGATCCTGGATAGAGGGAGCGGGACGCGAAGAATGGAGAGGAGACAGGAGGCTGAGCGGTTCTCTTTATTTAACAACAAGCCGCAGCCTATAAAGGCAAAAAGGAAGGAAGTGCCCGTGGGACATGCAAATCAGGCTACTAAAGATAACGCCCAATCAGAAAGCTACAAAAGCGCGCCTAGCGCCAGCGGTCAGCAGTTTCCAATCAGGTCCTCAGGAATGACATCACCTGTGCTAATTAGGTGAAACAGCACATGTGCTAACAGGGTGCTTGTTAGCCAATACAAATACGGGGAAAGGTTAAGGCCATTTGTACTTTTCTGTAAGGCAGCAAAAGGAAACGGAAAGTCTCCACCCGGCCTGAGGCCTGAGGCTGAGAGTAAAGCCTGTTGATGAGATCTTGGCTGTTGGGGCCCATGGTCCCCGACAAGATGGTGCCCAGCTTTCAGATAAAATAGCATCTGGGATCTTAAAGGCTTGTTTCTAAACAAGCAGCCATCAAAGTGAGATGTCAGCTAAATCCACATGGAAGAAGCACACCATCATCAGTCACCAAAGATTTGTAAACCATATCATCCAAAGTTAAGGTGACCAGGTTTTAACATTGGTAAAGCAGGACACCAGCGGGACACCATTGATAAAACTCATAGCTTGGCGAAATAGCCACATGGCAGCCGAAAACCGTATACCCTAGTTTGTCGTGCATTCTTTCCAAACATCGGGACTTTCTAAAAACGCCGCGGGACGCAGGAAAAATTGTTAAAAATCAGGACTGTCCCGCCAAAAGCGGGACGTCTGGTCACCTTATCCAAAGTCGAAGGAGGCAATAGTATCAGAGGCTAAATTGTGGTAATCCCGTTTGCAGAAGGCTAGGGATGAGAGTGGGAGTGCCAGATATACTTATGGGAACTACATAGGAAATAAACTTCCTGGGATTTCCCTCTGCCCATAGTAGAGGGATGGGAGGATGGGAGGAAAGTGGTTACCAAATGGAGTCATCGGAGAGGTGGCTATAGAAGATCAAAGGATAAACCCGACTTGAACAATCAAAGCCTGGCCAGTTGACGCCCCCTCTGATGCATGTTAGGCCTGATCTGGTTGTCAACATTCTCTGTATTTTTTGTTGTTGTTTTTGTGTGTATATATTGGGGTTTATCTCAGATGTGTTATGCCATTGGGGGTAACCTTCTTGATTTTTGTTATGTTTTTCTGTTTTTCAGTATATGGAACCCAGGATTGATAAACCTATAGGGACAGCAATAGGATGAAGGTTTCTGGTGGTGGTGGTGGGGTGACGGGTGTCCCATGGGAGAGGGGGTTAAAAGGGAGCTGATGTCAAGGAGTTCAGGAAGCAAAAGAATGTTTTGTAACTGATTTTGGTAGCAATTGTACAATACTGTTTGATGTGATTGAACTATGGAATAATATGGTATCTGTTTCAACTCTCAATAAAATGGTTTTGAAAATAAAAAAGAATAAAATGTTGAATTTGTATATACTTAGCACAGAAAAAAATATTGTGCTTAAGCATATTTCAAAGCATATTCAGTTCAATGCGTATTTGAAATGATCATTTAAACGACAATAGTTAAGATTCTGCATATATGGCTTTCGTAGACATCTCCTCTCATTGCGAATAATTGAAGGGATAAGATCATAAAGCATCCCATGGTTTTTATGTTTACTTTTGGGTCTTGTGGTAGTAGCATTTTTGAAACAAAATCCACGTCTGACTTTTAGGCAGAAAAGATGCCAACAGGCAAAACTTGTCTTAGTCATCATAACAGCCACCTGAAATGTTAATCCATTAAAATAAGATGATAATAGAGAGCATGTCAAGGGGACCAGCTAAGAGGTCCCTTTTCAGAAAGCCAAGATCTGCATACTGTCCCCAGGTTTACTCCCACAGTACCTCATGTCTCCAAGCTTCTTGCTGATGGCTGTCCCCACGTTGCTGAACGCTGCCGTTGCCTTCTGCCCTGCGTGGCTCAGGGTTTCCTGGGTTTTCTTGTAACTACAAGCAAAGCAGAATAACCATGAGCTCCCAATGCACATTCACCTTCCTCCTCCTTCGTTAATTTGAAAATGCTCTTTTTAAAACAGATGTAGGGAGATAATGGGCCATAGAGGGAAATGTTCCCAACTATTATCCGAAGATCCTGGACTGACTGTTTATTAGCAGGAAAGTCACTCCTTGAGGTCTGCATTCAGGAAGCATATGCATGTGCGACCACATGCCTTCGTCTACAAACAGAGGAGCTAATAAGCAAGGACAGAGTTACTCTTGAAGCAGAATATTCCCTTCCTAATAAAATTTTCCAAGGAAAACTAGGCAACAGAGAAATGAGAGGATGTAGGTTTTAAAGGGAGAGTTAAGTTTTCACAGGTTGGCTAGTTTGGGTACATTTAATCAGAAAAAAAGGTAAAGATATAACTAGCTATTTAAATATTTTTTTACTAGCTATAGCTGGAAATATTAAAGGCATATTATCTGAAGTCAGAGTAGTGACTTTATTCAGAAATAATTTTAGGAATAAAATACCGTAATTATTTCCTCCTAAGCCTATGGCCCCACTAGACTGTGCCTTCTTGCAGGTAATGAAGCTCTTCCTCTCTGTGTCCTGTTTCTGGCTAATTGAGGAGGAACTCAATACGTGCTGGCTAAAGGATGGAGAGCGCTGAAGATGTTGCTCCGTTGGGGTTCTGAGCTGGCCTTTGGCAGTAGGGACAGAGAGAAATGTGATAACAGAAGCAAGACCAATCACAGAGACAGAATGACTGGAGATGGGCAAGGGATTACAGGTGAGAGAATACGACAAACCGACCGCCCTGAGGCCTGGAGCAAAAATGACTGGAAGGACAGGGCTGGCATTGGTCAGAATGGGAACTTTCTAGGAGTGATTTAGTTAAATAGGGCGTGGGGGTGGGGAGATTCATGACTTGGAGGAATAGAAATAAATCACCAGAAACGTGTGTGTGTGTGTGTGTGTGTGTGTGTGTGTGTGTGTGTGTGTGTAAGCGAAGCCAAACTTGTTGAAATCAAGTCAGTTCCAACTATGGTATGCTATGTAAAACAGGGGAGAATTATTCCCTAAGGCTTTCTTGGCTGTCCACTTACAGAAGGCAGCGTGTCGGCTTTCTTTCATGACCCTACTGGCTTCAAACCAATTAACTTTGGGTTGGTAGCTGATCACAGACCACTTGCACGACTCAGCAACACTACCAACATGCTGTAAGTGCCCGTCAGTCATTCCTCACACAGAGTGACTCTATGTAAAATGGACACAAACATAAAATGGACGCAAACATTGCCCCATCCTGCATCATCCTCACAATGGTGGGCAACACAAAAGCCACCACAGGACCACAGCTGACAGGAGAACGGTGGCTCCCTTGCTGCTGTGATGCTGGAAGCTATGCCACCGGTATTTCAAATAAGATCAGGGTTAGGCATCTTGTACAGGTTTCATCGGAGCTCCCAGACGGAGAAGGAACAGATGATCCATTCTGAGGGATTAGCCATGGGCACTAATCAACAGCAGTGGAACGTTGACACTGTGCCGGAAGACGAGCCCTTCACCTGGGAAGACATTCAGAATCCCTCTGAGGATGAGCTGCCCCTCAACGCAAAATGCACCGTATGGATATGGATGGAGCAAAGCTTTCAAGACCTTGACCTGCTCCTACGGCATGACCCACAATAAGAGGAAGCAGCTGTTGACAGCTATGACTAATCAGGAAGTGGAAGGTGCGGCGGGTGACTCTGGGAAAACTGGACGCTGTCAGTAGCTGGTCACAACTGCGCAGTGCTCGGGAGCATGGGGCTTCCAAAGCCACCAGCAAATCTTCCAGCCTTCGCTGCCGCGTCATATTTTCAGGACACGTTGTCCTTGGAAATCAGCCATTGCTTTATGTTTCCACTCTTCTTTTTGTCGTTCTATTCCCACAAATCATCTAACCCTAAACGCAACCTGGGGAGTCCCTTATTCAGATCCCAGATCCCAACCTAATCCACTGTGATGGATTTGATTCCAACAGATAGCACCCCTGTGTAGGATTTCTGAAGCTGTCGATCTTTATAGGAACACAAAGCCTTGTCTCTCTCCCACAACTTGTTAACAGGATGGGGTGATGAGTCTATGTGATCAGCAGCATATGTTATTTATTTACCCAGACTATGTTTTCCAGGAAGTGTGATAAAACATACATCGTCTAACAGTCCTCTGGGTGCTACCCTACAATGGGGTCTGCATTATCAGGTGGTTAAAAATAGAAGATTCATCAATGGGCTTACAGTTGAAGAATAAATATCTAAATTCAGTTGGGTTAAACTAGGGAAACATTAAAACATAAAAGCCATAGGAGGCCTCCACTTCTTTGCTCCCTATTGGAAAAAAAATCATTATTATTATTAGTGAAACGTTTTTTGCCAAATCTTCAACTATTGTTCTATTTCCCCTTTCCCACTAAACTGCCTTTCTCAGGTTTCATTTTTGGTGCTACTGTGAATGCACACACAAGCTCACTGCCATGAGTCAAGTCTGACTCATAGGGACCCTCTATGTACACAACAAAACATATGCCGATTCAACGATTTTTAGATTCTTCAAGTTATGCAGGCATTATCACCTTGATTTTAGAAGAGCCCTTCTACCATTAGTATGCATTAACTGCTCCAGAGTTTCCTCTCCAATCCTGACTGCCGCTTTCAATGCGATGCCCTCCCATCAGCTATCCGTTTCTTCTGCTTGTTGCTGCTTAACAGTCGAGCTGGGGTCCACGTTCAACCTTCCACTTCCACCCCTTTCTCCAGGGATACCAATTACATCCTGGTCACCAAACTCCTTGGGTGCTCTTTTCTCTTAGTCTTCTCACAATCAGTAAAACAATGGCCTGACTCACCGCACTCAGGTCAACGCTAACTCGGACCCTGTGAGACCCGGTCGATGCCCCTGGGAGTTTCTGAGACTGTAAACCTTTAAGCCCCGGCTTACTCCTGAGATGCCGATGGTGATTTCCAACTGCCAACCTTGCAGTTAGCAGCCCAACTCATAAGGACTATGCCACAGGGTTCCTTGCCCCCAGGTCAGTCGTCCTTGCTGATACCCTGCCCTTTGGCCTTTCTGGTTCTTCCAAGTCTGGGAGGTCTCCTGCCCCCTGCTGGTGGCTCCATGTCCCTGATGATAACAACAGAGGATGCCTACAACTTAGACCCTCCTTTTCTGTCTGCTCTTTTCCCATTAGGGACCCTGTCACATTCAGGGTGTAACCCCTCTCAGCCATGAGGTTGTGCCCCACATCTTTCCTACATAAAGTGTACTCAATTTATGTTTATATATACACTGTGCAAGGTTATTTCATCTGCACTGTTCCATAAGTTTAAACAAACAATAATCACTAGCAGGCAATATAGTATCCACAAAAATAAAATAGATATAAGTTCTTTCTCTTCATAGGATTTTGAAATAAATATGTTTCATTCATTAGACTTTTTAAGTTGACGTTTGCAAGAATATACACCAGGGTAGAAAATATGCCTCGCAGCTGGTGGTTCCTGTGAGATTGTCCAAGACTGATTCCACAAGGGGCCTGAATTTGCTCCCATTCTTAAAATCAAATTTTGTATGTCTTCTAATCCATATCTCTCACACTTATTTTGCACATATGCATGTGTCTGTATGTGGCAATTGGTTCCATTAGGTCCCTCGTGGCTTGGTCTTGATGGTTCGCTGCTTCAAAGTGTTAGCCGTGAAATGCTCATGGGAACAGCTGGACTCGGCCCCCGGGGTCTGCGGGAGTCACAGCTGGCATGCTGGTAGTCAGCCACAGGGGCAGTGACAGGTGCTCGAGCTTGCAGTTCAAGCGAAGGCCGTAAAAGCAGCATTACAGGTTAGAGGCCAGAAATAAAAACACCAGTCGCCATGGCAAGATCATAGTCAGGTGTGATCTCGACATGGCGCATGCTACGAAATTTTCAGGAGAAATGTGCTACTAAAATAGTTTCCCAAAGCAGTATCCTGAACACTTGGGTACTAGACTCAGAAAAAAATAGTCTATAAAAATAGTGTAAATGTAGTGGGATTCTTTTCCTCTGAAAGATAGCACGATTTATCTATAAAAAATAAAAACACAACATTCCTATTCCAGCTATATTTTTAAGAGTTTGACAAAGTCTTCACAAAGTAGTATTCAGGGGATGAAACGAAATCTATGAAAAGTGCATTTAACCCCCCCTCCCATGAATAAAAGTTTCTTTTATACCTGAAAATGGGGAAATTGGAGAGTGTGGAAGCACAGTATTAAATACAGATGAAAGATGGTTTTGTGATATGGGAGCTTTCTATATAAAGAGGAGAGAATGTGAGAATTTGAAATTTCCATCTCATTTTTCAATTTAGGCGTATGGGGACAGTTTTCTGCTCGGAAGCACACTATAAGACCAATGTAAGATAGCTGTAGGACAGCGGCAGTCCCACTGGCTCCTCTTACAGGGACTCATGGTCTAAACACGTTCTGTGACGTCCTATTTGGTCGTTAGGTGCCACTGAGTTGAATGTGACTCATAGTGTGCCCACATGCTAGATAGAAATGCCACACGGGGTTTTCAGCTGTCACATTCCAGGGCGGATCTCCAGCTCTGTCTTGGTGCTGTGTCCAGATTCCCACAGTTAGATTAGGATTTAGAATTAAGTTTTCTGATTTCTAATCCAAGACTCTTTCTATTTCTCCCACAATTTAAAAGTTTCAAGAAAACCCCGCCCCCAAACCTGAATGTACAAATTTCTCCTTTAAAATGCTGTGAAAACAGAGCTATTTAAACGTCCCTCAGTGAAGACACTTGCATTATCTAGGACTCTTCTGTGGACCTTACACTCGATCTCAGCTCATCAGGAAATCACGCTCGTTCACGTCTGACAATCGGTCTACAGTCTGGCTGCTTACTCCCGTCTCCTGTTCTCCACCTTTGTTCAGCCCACCGTCAGCACTCGACTGTGCTACTGCAGTAACCTCCCA